ACCGCTTGGACTTGAAAATTTGAAATTCTTTTGTTTTATAACTCGAAGATGAAGTGGAAAAATGGTTTTAGAACCGTTATATCTCACAGAAAAGCTCAGATGTATTATACAGATGTTTGGTAGTATAGTAAGTGCTTGTTGACTGTAAATTCATATGTCTTTCGTTGCAAACTTTTCTGAACAATTTATATTCTCAATGAACAATCATGTTTTTTCCGCTATTGTTTCGGTATTAATTATTTAAAAAACTTGTATTTAAACTAATTTCTATGTAATAAATGTATTTTGCTAAGCTGTAAAATTTTTTTGAGAGTGTTTCCTTGTACTATCATCTTTCTCAAAGCGAATATTTTCCTTTTTTCTGCTTCGCAAAACTCATGTAGTTTTTGGACCGCCATCTTGTTTTTCGCTACTCGCCGTATATGAGCTGATATACGGCGAGTAATTCAACCAATCAGATTGCAAAACAGCTCATATACGGTGAATGACTATATTATAATATCATTATATATATATATATATATATATATATATATATATATATATATATATATATATAGATATATACAGTGTGTCTAAAAAAAAAGTGAACTCTTTCAAATTCAAATTAGCTATAATGTAGTATTGTAGTAATGTGACAGCTCTAATCGCTTTGAATATATATATATATATATACAGTGTGTCTAAAAAAAAAGTGAACTCTTTCAAATTCAAATTAGCTATAATGTAGTATTGTAGTAATGTGACAGCTCTAATCGCTTTGAATTAATGATTGGGTAAGAACACAAGGTCTTGTACTCATGGGACAAAAATCAAAGAAATAAGAATTAGAAAATTTAAAAGAAATACTGCATTCCTTGTGTTCTTACGCAACTATTAATTCAATGCAATTAGAACCGTCAAACTACTACAACAGTCAATACTATTTTGAATTACTAATTTAAATTTGAAAGGGTTCACTTTTTTGAGACACACTGTAGAAATACTAAGTCAGTTTTTGTCCCAATTATTGTTTACATGGCACCTTCAAGGCTACCCCTATTGCAAATCAACCGAACAATCTGATGGGGAAACAAAATCTATTTGTTAACATTTGTGTTTAACTAACATGCCAGCTTCAGATGACGCCATTCATTGTTACTCAATCAGAACCGCAAAACCATATGATAAGAAAGAAATTGTGAGCATTATCAAAGAATATTCTTGGGTTTAATATGACGTCACAGAAGTGATGGGGGGGGGGTCAACCCTAAAACAAAATATAGTTATCAGAGTGAGTCGACGATTGTTCGTTTTATGTATTAGCCTTGTGTTTGGTGGCAATACATAGAATTTTGTATCGTTTTCTAACTCCAGTACAGCATAAGCATCAGTACATTTGAGGTTGCGCCCCAATCACATTTACTGCATAATGCCTTAGTGAAACTCAAGAAAAGCATATCCGGAAATGTATTGACACAGCCAGGTGAATGTATGAGTATAGGTCGGTAGGAGTCTAGGAGATATAAACAGGCCATCATGCATGATACCCGGCCTTGTACAAAAGTCGGTTGACATGCTATCTGCATGTAACTGCTGGTAGCCTTGTATGTTAATAACATATGCCGACAACAATCCCCACACTAGGTTGCTATAGGAATTTTATTAAGCCCAATTACGCGCAAAAGTATAACAGTCCGCGTATAAACTCATCGCCTTGGGCTTGGCACATCGCCACACAAAAAATATATAAAATAATACATTGTTGACATCATGAAATCATATCAGGCCCGTAGCTGAGAGGATGGGGGGAGGGGGCCTTGGGGGGGGGGGAGGGGGGCAGTGCCCCCGAACTCGGAAATTATGCCCCCCCCCCCTCATTCCACATTTTTTGCCATGATGTACAGTATTACAGCGACCGTAGAAGATTAATACTTGAGGCTCATAGTCATACTCAATTTTTGTATGAAAATAGACTGCTTTTGGCCTAAAATAAATAACCTCATAGGCGTAGAGTATGGGGGGGGGGGCTCGAGCCCCCCCAGAAATCTTACACCGGGGTCTTAGCCCCTGCAGACGTTTTGCAGAACTAATAGCTGTTAATTATGTTCTTATTTTTTGGGGGCTAAGTACCGAAATTTGGTATGAAAAATTGAGATAAAGTACCTGGAAAGCAATTGCAACGTACTCGTCCGGAAATTTTTTTTACCTAAAAAGTTGTCGACGGAAGGGGGGGGGGGTCGAGTCAGAATTATCCCAACCCCTCTGTTACATTCTTTCCACAGTGCCCCCACCCAGAAATTGAGAGCCAGCTACGGGCCTGAATCATATATGTTTATATAATAATCTTAAGATTTCATTGGTCGAGAGCCATGATCTATTAGAGGACAGACGCACGGAATTACGTCATAAGTTTTTAAAATGTCGAAAATATTTGAAAATTCCACTGAATTTATACGAATTGAGTAAATTCATGCAACTAAATTTATAAACAGCAATAAATACCTTCGATAAATGAGCAAAAATGACTCACCAAATCGGCAAATGTCAACTCAGTCATTCAGCTGCGACTTTCTGAAAATCCAACCTGGTCTTCGAAAACAAATACTATTTCGGTCATTTGACTCTGTCGGTGTCACATTTTCCAGCTGGTTTCTTCACTTCGTGCAACATAGGCAATATTTAAGTGCTTTTCAGTTGCCATAGTCGCTCAGAACAAAATAATCACATGCTTTTATTCCTTTAAAACAATGTTTTTCACTATTTTGGTAAATTTTTAGTTTTTCCTTATGTATTACCGTCTAGCGCATTCTATTACAATTCAGCACGTGACTTAAGCGAGCCAATAGCATTTCGTTATTTGTATAGATCTTCGCGTGTGATATTTGCAAAATTTCGACTTCCAAATGTTTCAGGGAATAAATTAAAAATAAACTGTTACCTGTTTGCGATGTTACTCTGAGTGCATATCCACACCGGGCCGGGCATATTTTTCAAGCTCGCCCGGTGTGGATATGCACTCAGAGTAACATCGCAAACATATTATTCACCTGAGTACACAACACCAACACAGAAAAAAAAATTCATAAACTGTTACCTGTTTAATTCGGCAATTTTTTCAATTTTATTATATAAAACAAATAGATTACATTTTCCCGTTGTCTGTACAGTTATAGATACACAGTATGACGTCATATGTGGTAAGAACAAAAAGTGACCACTCGCCTCGGTGGCTCGTGTACACTTTTTTGTTCTTACCACATATGACGTCATACTGTGTATCTATAACTGAACAGACAATGGGAAAATGTAATCTATTTGTTAATTAAATACCTCTGTATCGAATGCTAAACAACAGATCGGATCTAAATATATTAAAGCCTTCATGTAAATTCATCAGAAAGAAATAAAGCCATTCTTACCTGATTTATTCTTTGATATTCGTTTGCAATCCAACATCGTATTAAAGTTTAAAACTGCTTGAACAATACAAAATAAAGTTGACCGCCTCCCTCGTTTAAAAAAATTCCTGAAGCTTAATTATTCCTTCCGGAAATCACCTTTGCAGACAGACAGACACAAATCGAGATCTCGACAATACATAGATCGCGCGAACGACTGGGTCAAGTGGAAACCACTGCGTGTCAAGAATATGCGAGGCGCAGCAAATAGGGAAGGACGGCAACTCTTTTTGTCCACATACATATACACATACACATATATGCTCATTTCACAACCAAAATATTGTTTCAAGTTAGAAACATGAAAACTTCAAGAAAATTATAACAGAGAAAACTTTGATATTCGAACAACATTACTTTGAAAAAAGTATTTAGTCTAGGACCTGTATATGAGTTTGTATGCGTTTCATTTAGGACAGGTAATCTCAACTGTTTTAGGGTAAAATGACCATGGCGGTCAACATGGCATATGTACCAAAACATGAATCCGCAAATATTTATTGTCTTTATCATCAATCATATACATTCAATAAATATAGTGTACTTAGTTAGGTTTCGGTGGTGGCGAACAAACGTTTCGTCAAAATATTCATCCCCTTGTCATGTAACCCACGAGAAGTTTTCACGAACTTGCACGTGACTTTTAAATTACTTCTTTTGAATTCAGACAAGACAACTGTATTGGGAGGTTTTTCTCCTTTCAAATACAATCAATGTTTTCAATTTTTTGATTGGGACTATTCTACAATGAATTACTACTGGATATTGTAATCTAAATACATAAGAAGACGAAGAAGTGGCATTTATCGGGCAGAGAAGCGGCGTGTGCTATACTTTATGTTAGATTTATATATTGAAACACTGAACTGCATATATATCTGGACTTTAGATTATCACGTGACCTTTTGATGTTGTTCAAGATGGCGTGGGATTGTAATAAGTAAACAGTTTATATTCCCTTTATATTTGGAATACTGACTAAAGTTTGTACATATTTATAATTATATTAAATGGTTATTGTTATACACATCTTCGAATCCTGATCTAGGATATTCAATATGAAACATGGTCCTTCTTTGAGCCGGATTGAAACGGATTGAAATTTGATATTTTGAGAACAATTCAAGAAATACGAGCCAATTTACGAGTTATTTGAGAGAATTTACGAGTCCTTCGGGAGAATCTACGAGTCGTTTGGGAGAATCTACGAACATATAATATAATTTACGAGCTTCGAAATAATTTACGAACGATTGAGTGAAATATTTACGAGATTTTGAGCGATATACGAGTCATATAAAGCGAACATCGAGAAATTGGGACATCTACGAGTATCTGAGTAAGTCTATACGATTATTTGAGCGAATTTACGAGAGTTTATTACACTTACAAGTATTTGGAATCATTATATACGAGCTTTAAAGAGAAATAAACGAGAAATTGCGCCTTAGAACAATATACAGTAACTGTGAACCAAAGGGATTATTATAAGGTGTTTATATACATTTTGAGAAGTTAGATAAAGAGTATACACGTATTCGAGAGTGTAACATTGTTATTATGAGTGAAGAAGCAACAAAGAAACGTAAGATTCGGGGAGGACATAGAACCTCAACTAAGAGAACAATAAATGCTTCATCAACAATTCTTGACGATTTTGATCCTTCAAATAAACAACTTACCGACAGGGAAAGTTGACAGGGTGGGTTAGGTAAAAAGGGCCCACAGTAATTGGCATATGCTGTTGTGGTGACCCTGCCCTAGTTGGCAAAGTTAAATAAATAAATAAGTTATTGCAACAAAAGATTACATTAAAGGAAAAACTAGACATTCTGCAAAATTTAGACAATGATATACTAGCTATTACTGAGGAGAAAGATATTGAAAAGGAGATTGAAGAAAGTGATCTTTTAAGAGAGAGAATACATGCTACAATTGTCAGAATTGATTCTGTAGTGATAAAGCTACCAAAATTGAGTTTAAAGAAGTTTAAGGGAGATATTAAGGAGTGGACTCCATTTTGGGACAGTTATACTTCAGCTATTCATGACAATCCTGACCTAAGTGATATTGATAAATTTAACTATTTGAACTCCCTACTTGAATCAAAGGCAGCAGAAGCAATTGCTGGGTTAAAGATTACATCAGCAAACTATCAGGAAGCAGTTGACGTGTTAAACCAGAGATTTGGCGACAAGCAACAGATTATTAATTCGCATATGGACAGCCTTCTTCAACTACCTGCAGTAACAAGCCTTCATGATGTTCAAAGTATTAGACAGTTTTACAATAAGGTTGAATCGCATATCAGAGGTCTCAAGTCTTTGGGAGTAGAGACCGCGACATATGGTAATCTAATGATCTCAATATTGATGCAACAGCTGCCACCGGGTTTACGTATTATTGTAACAAAGAAGATGCAAGAGGATGAATGGTCTTTGGATAAACTTATGACAATCTTTCGACAAGAATTAGAGGCTAGAGAAAGAGCAAATCTGCAGTGTTTACCTCCATCAAAGTCCAGTTATCAACGAAATAAACCGGGAACAGCTGCTACTCTTTTCACGGGACTGCATGACACTACCTGTTCTTATTGTCAAGGAAAGCACTTATCTGCAAACTGCAAGACAGTGACCAATGTAGCTGCAAGGAGAGATATTCTGAAACGAAGTGGACGGTGTTTTGTATGTTTAAGGAAAAACCATATTAGTAGGGAATGCCAATCGAACATAAAATGTTTTAAATGTGGTAGACGACATCATGGAAGTCTGTGCATGGGCGGCCAACCCCGACAACAACACCCTAATCCTAATTCTGACCCACCAACCAACCAGCAAGAACCTCGGCATCCACGTCAGCCCGCAACAGAGACTGAGAAAGGGGACGAAACCGGAATTGGTGGCAAGAACTTACCAGCACAACCGAACAGAGAAAGAGATCAACAACAACAACAACAGCAGCAAGCTACTACAAGTCAAACCATGTATGTTGGCACAAGAACATTCATCTTCTTGCAGACAGCGAAGGTCAACATATACAAGCCCGGAATGCAGGAAAATAGAGTAAATGCTCGACTTATACTGGATAGTGGGAGCCAACGTTCTTTCGTGACAACCAGAGTGAAGAATCAATTGACCATTTGCGTAATAGACTAAATTTTCATCTCAACAAAAATTTCATTACAGCTTGAAAGAGCATCACAAAATTAGTAATATTCCAAAGTTTCGTTGCAAAATGTTGTAAAATGCGGAAAATATAGCCTTGCGAAATTTGCAATTGTCAGTCATTTTAGATTACAAATCGGAAATTGACAGCCTCGAAGGGTTTGGGGCTGTCAATTTCCCGTTTGTAATCTAAAATG